GTATAATGCCACTGAAGTCAATATGTTTCAACAGTCCTGCTTATAGGAGTGCGGAATCAGGACAATAATGTCTTTTGTATATATAATATCCTAGCATTTTATTCTTCAACTTATCTGTATATGAAACAGAGGTAATACATTTGAGGTAATACAAGTAAAGTAGTATGGTAGCTGGAGCCTAGCAAAGAGGAAGTCCCAGGTATAAGAACTCAATATGAGAGTTAGCAAAGGTAAGTTAATGTAGGGTCTTTGAGCAGGGGAAACTTGGAGGAGAGACTGGGGAAGGTTTATGGGGAGTATATAGGAAATTAGGGGGGATTCTAACTCTGGTATCAGAGAGTCTCATGTTTAGACCTGTAGCTTTCTCCACAACACAAAAGATGGGTGCTCCTTATTCACATTTTTTAACCTCACTGTTAGGTTTGGTTCAATTTGAAGAGTTGGGGAAGGTTCATATCACTTCTTATTTTACCCAACCAAGATCTGTTGCCCCTGCTAATAATGCCGTTGCTTGATGAAAAGTAACCGTGAGATACTAGGATACTCTGTGTTATCAGAAAACTGCTACGCTTCATCCAACCATATAAATGCAGCTAAACACTCACTGAAGCCTGCAGCTAGTCTGTGGTTCAAAGGCAATTCTGACAGCATTTTTTCTTGAGTCTTTCTGATCATTTCATTATTCATTCAAAAGTTGCAGTGTATACCAATAATAAATTAGAATGAAATCGACTCTATGTTCCATCCTGTCCTAATGGGTTCTGTCCAGCAAAAAGCTTTATAGCCCTATTTGAAATAGAATAACTGAATGCTGTTCCCTATCCTGCCACATCAACGCAAGCAGCTTCTTTTACTATGTAGAAGCAGTCTTTCAGTAATGCAGAAAGCTATCAGTTGGTTCACTGAACCGTGCACAAGGGCGAGAGATTGCACTTAGACTTTACTTACCTTAGGATATGGATATTGCTTTCCTTTGGGATACAGGCCTCCAGTAAACCGAGGAATAACCATGTTTGGTACCAAAGTGTCATTTATCATCAAGAATGCCAGCCTTTCTCCATCCGGGGACCACCAGTGGGCAATATGAGAGTGAAGCAGCTCCTCTGAAACAGATGCATATCCTTAGAATACCTATTAACTATTGTGTGATTCAAATTACCAAGTAGTTCATTTGCATTTTACATAGTTTCTATGCTTTCTTGCTACACAGCTGTTGTAATTATAAAAAAGATATATTGAATTTTTTTCTGGATTGAATTGCTTGAATATTAAGGTCTATTATAAGACAAATTATGAGTTTTTATTCAGATGAGTGTTCCCAACTATATCAATGGAATTACTTGCATAAGTGAAATGATTATTATTGCCTTATATTTAGCCTTAATATCATTCTAGCTGGTTTTTATGTTAATAATTTGTATAATAGAATGTAAAGGTATTGTCAGCACTAGTATTATTCCATCCAGTTATTTATGTTTTAGTGTTTCATTTGGGGAAAACCTTCAGTTTTGGTGAATCTAATTTTGTATGACATTTTGATTTTTGGGGTGGGATGATTCTGATTTGTAATTTCTTTCTTTCTTCCTTTCTTTCTTCCTTTCCTAGCCAAAAGAAAATTCTAGTTTTCTCCCGATGCTAACTCTCACTAGTCTGTGATCAGACTTTGTTTTTTAACTATCTAACTTACCATTTGTATTTTTTTCAGTAAACAGTGTGCTCCACACAAATTTCACCTGTGTGTTTGGAAACCCAAATTTGGAGTATTTACAAGCTGTTTGCTTAGAATATTCACTAATTGCTGGTCATGTTTGACTGATTACCTGAGTTACATAATATTATTTCTGCTCCCTGACTGGACAACTGTAACCTTTTTACAAGGAAAATAACAGAATGGTGAACAGCAATGACCACAAAGCACAAACTGAATTCTGTTTGCATTTAAATAAGGATATTCACACCACGAAAAAGCACTCCTAAACAATTCTGTAAACCAAAGCACAGGAACATGAGTATTTGCGAATTGCAAATGAAAAAGCCACATACATAAGGTCAAAATGAGCAGCTATTGGAATTCATCTGAATGTCTATTAATTTAATTGTGCGGTATTCACTCAGCTGTATGCCTGGTACTATCACAAAATAGAAAAGAAGAGTCAGCATGCCATAATAGAGCCACATTGTGTTCTGGGGATTTGTGTCTGGAAAGACCCCTATGTGCACTTGCTCACCACTTTTAAAGAAATGCTGAGGGATACACCTTCTTCCTTGCAACCATACACAATTCCTAAGAATACATGGAGACCTCTCTCTGGGAGCAGGACTTACATCAGATCCATGGGGCAAAGACCAAACAGCCTGAGAGTAGGCGGAATTGCTTGAGAGAGGCCACTCAGAGCTCATATTCCCAGACTCTTCCTCATCCTATCCTTTGCTGGGTATTACCTCAAGCACAGGACCCCTGTGTACTAGCAGGGTAGGGGAGACCCTTGTAAAGTAGCTTCCAGTGGCTGTCCTGAAAGGGGCTAACAAGGGGCAACTGAAGCAGTAAACTAGAAATACAGGACCCCTGCATCAGTGTGTCTGGTTTCCTTCGTATTAAGCCGCACATGTAGTTACAAACATGTATTTGCTGGTGCAAACAGTCACTGAACAGTATGTCCCAGTGAATTTTGTGAATAGAAATTCTAACCCCTCTGAGAGCATAGGTACTGGAATTATACAGTTCACATTCAAAGTGTGGCCACATATATGGGAATGCACTGTTTTACATACACGTGTGTAAAGTTCAGGTAGAGTATTAGTGAGAAATGTAACCAACTAGTTGCTTCTCTTTCTTATCAGTTATATTTCTCAGTCTTTTAAGGCGTACATAAGAAAGTATTCTGTACTGTCAAAAATTCTATTTATCTTTAATAAAAAATTAGTTTTTAAAAATGTGCACTAACCTTCTATTATAAAAGATAATTTTCTGATATGCACAATCAAATTGAAATTGAAAAATGCCACATTAGCATAGCATAAATGCTAGAGATTGGTCTTGTTACACTTTAGTTACTGTACAAAAATATGACAGGTAACAAGGCCCTTTGTAGTCGGTACACTTGTGCTCAGGTAATTTTAATGTGTTTATTTATTTTACAGTATCTGGCCTTAACAAGAGGTGCAGTTGTACCATAAGGATCTAAGGCCTGATCTACACCAGACCAGTCAGGTCAGCTTTAGCTATGCAACTTGAGCCATGCAAAATGCGTAGCTGGAGGCACCTTACCGTAAGCTGAGCTATGGCAGCATCCACACACTGGAAGGCTGATGGGTTGTTGGCTTCTCTTACTCCTTGCAGAATGAGAAGTACTGGATGCTAGTGAGGGCTTCCCTCAGAGTTTGATTTACAGGTCTATATTAGACCCACTAAATCAAGGGCTAGAAGATTGACCTCCAGAGGGTCGATATTCTCTCAAAAGTAGACATGCTCTAAGTAGCATTAGAAACTCCTCATTCATCCTCTATTACCTAAAAGCCCAGATTTGTAATTCTTATTTACATGGAGTGCGGTATTAGCCATTGGTGATGTGGCAGGCAGGCCCAGTCTTTGGAAAGAGATCATGATTAAATATAGACGAATGTGACATACCAGAGCCCCCAAAGTTTATTTGTTAGCAATTTCACCCCACTCTGTTCTGAAACCCAACTCATTCTTTTCTCCAGTTTTACTCATCACATAGCACTATCACTTAATTTGTGAATTTTCAGTTTTTAGACTGGAGAGAGGTGATTAGTGGTGTCTCCCAAGCGTCTGTCCTGGAACCAATCTAATTTAACCTATTTCTAAATGATCCGGAGAAAGGAATAAACAGTGAGGTGGCAAAATTTGCAGATGATATTAAACCGCCCAAGATAGTTTAAAAAAAAACACAGACTATGAAGATTTTCAAAAGGAGTAGGTGATTGGGCAACAAACTGGCAAATGAATTTTAATGTTGATAAATAAAAGTAATTCATATTGGAAAAAATAATCCCAACTACACATATAAAATGATGGGACTAATTTAGCTATAACTACTCAAGAGAGAGATCTTGGAGTCATTGTGGATAGTTCTCTGAAAACATCCACTCAATGTGCAGCAGCAGTCAAAAAAGCAAGCAGAATGTTAGGAATCATTTTAAAAAGGATAGAGAATATAACAGAGAATATCGTATTGCTTCTATATAAAACCATGGTACGCCCACATCTTGAATACTGCATACAGATGTGGTCACCTCATCTCAAAAATGATATATTGGCATTGCAAAAGGTTCAGAAAAGGGCAACAAAAATGATTAGGGGTTTGGAATGGATGCTATATGAAGAAAGATTAAAAATACTTAGACTTTTCCGATTCAAAAAGAGGAGACTAAGGGGGGGATATGATGGAAGTTTACAAAATCATGACAGGTATGGAGAAAGTGAAGAAGGAAAAGTTATTTACTTGTTCCCATAACATAAGAAATAGGGGTCACCAGATTAAATTAGTATGTAGGTAGTAGGTAGCAGGTAACAAACAAAAGGAAGTTTTTCTTCATGCAGCACACAGTCAACCTGTGGAACTCCTTTCCAAGGGAGGTTATGAAGACCAGGACATTCACAGGGTTCAAGAAAGAACTACATAAATTCATGGAGGTTAGGTCCATCAATACTTATTAGCCAAAATGGGTAGGAATGGTGTCCCTAGCCTCTGTTTGTCAAGGGAGGTTATGAAGACCAGGACATTCACAGGGTTCAAGAAAGAACTACATAAATTCATGGAGGTTAGGTCCATCAATACTTATTAGCCAAAATGGGTAGGAATGGTGTCCCTAGCCTCTGTTTGTCAAGGGAGGTTATGAAGACCAGGACATTCACAGGGTTCAAGAAAGAACTACATAAATTCATGGAGGTTAGGTCCATCAATACTTATTAGCCAAAATGGGTAGGAATGGTGTCCCTAGCCTCTGTTTGTCAAGGGCTGGAAATTGATGACAGGAGAGAGATCACTTGATGATTACCTATTTTTGTTCAGTCCTTCTGAGGCATCTGGCATTGGCCATAGTCAAAAAACAGGAAACTGGGCTAGATGGACTTTTGATCTGGCTCAGAATGGCTGTACTTATATTCTTATGAATTCTTTTGCTCACTCCTACACTACTTACAGGCAAGTATATTACCTTTACCAGGACTTCTCTTATGCTAGACTTTGCCTACTCATTAGGCAGAAGCTCCCTCTATCTCCCATATAAGCTAACTAAAAGTCAGGTAGAACAGCAGGCAGTATCTGACCCCTAATTAATCCCATGGGATGTATGAGGCCCAGAAATATCTGGCAGAGCTGTAACTTTGCCCAATGTGCTGAACAGCAGAGCTGGAAAGCTGCCTGGTTGGACGGTCAGAAGTTCTGTACTATACTCTGTAAAGGGGGACGGTGAGCATCTGGAGATTTCCAGGAGTCATGCAGAATAATCTTTTAACAATACAACTCCTCACTGCCTCCAATTCAGAGTATATCACAGAGGCTACCATCTTCTGAGTACATGCTAGTCACCCCCAGGTTGGCAGAATTTAGCCCCAAATTGCCTAGCAGATTGTTGAATAATCACAACTGCAATTCCAGCAATACTTTGTCTTAGCAAAAAAGGTGATCTTCTGTGTCAGATTTAATTAACTGCATATGCTTAAATACACCAATTTATATGCAATCATATTAGATTTGCTGAATCTGAAATGCATTTAAAATGATCTTCCATGCTAAAGATGTCCCTTCTCCCTGGCTTTGAACTTCACTGACCTATTAAAATACTTACAAAACATTAATGGAATCCATTTAAACTTGAGGTGGGTAATCTTTTGAACAGAGGCCTTTAAATCTCCATAGAATGTAAATTACTATTCTTATTTTAGAGTCCATTTGAGCTGGGGTTTTCAAAGAATCTTAAAAGTATGTCTGCACAGCAACTGGACAACAGCATGTGGGCCACGCTAGCTGACTCGAGTTGGCGGGGAGGAGGAGACTTTTTCATTTTTGTCTAGATTAGTGTTTCTAGTGGTACGAGTACCCTCAGGGGTACTCAAGAGACGTCTGGGGGTATGTCAACACAACTGAAATTTGGAGAAAACTGAATTTTTGTTTTAAGTTTTACAGCGCTTTATTATTTTTGTACTTTTTATACAAAAATTTCATCGCCCACCAGGCAATGATTAAGTTGTTTAAACAAATGTGTTGCAATGGTAGAAAAAAAAAATTGTATGTCTGAAAACTGTAGTTGAAGCAAAATGCAGGACAATGTAGCACTTTAAAGACTAACAAGATGGTTTATTAGATGATGAGCTTTCGTGGGCCAGACCCACTTCCTCAGATCAAATAGTGGAAGAAAGTAGTCACAACCATATATACCAAAGGATACAATTTAAAAAAATGAACAAATATGAAAAGGACAAATCACATTGCAGAACAGAAGGGGGATGCGGGGGGGTGGGAAGGGGGAGGAAGGAAGGTAAGTGTCTGTGAATTGCTGATATTAAAGGTAGGGAGAGTGGGATGTTTGTGAGTTAATGGTATTACAGGTGATAATTGGGGAAACTGTCTTGGTAATGGGTGAGAAAGTTCAAAGACTTGTTAAGTCCTTGTTGGTAAGTGTCGAATTTTAACATGAATGACAGTTCAGAGGATTCCCTTTCAAGTGCAGATGTAAAAGATGAAAACTGTAGGTACAGGGGGTACTTATAATTTATTTATTTATTTTTGAAAAAAGGGTACTTTATAAAAAAAGGTATATATATATAAAGTTGAGAAACACTGGTTTAGATCACACTCTGGTACCCTTCCATGCACTCAAAAATATAATTATATGCAAACCAAGTTGTGAGTCAATATAAAATATAAGCTAATGCAAAGTCCGAAGGCAATTTTGTAAGAAAATAAGAAGAGAAAAGGCAAAACAGCTTCAGTCACCATTGCCCTAGAATCAATAGTTTTCTCCTATAGGTTTTGTATAAGAACCTCTTCCCTGTATTAATAAACATCTATATTTATCCACCTTACCTTCATATAGCCAGTCTGCAATTCCATTAAAAATGATTCCTTCTTTTCCTGAAGATGTCAGTCGCAATGAGCTACTCTTTACATCAGGTTGATAGTAGATGTTATTTTCAAAAATATAAATCTATATTAGGTAAAAGAGATAAAGCAGGGGGAATATAAAATGTTGGTAGACATAAATGAATCTTTTCATTCTAGTGATAGAAATAGAATTTCCACAGTTTTAGAACAGTTTAAAGAATAATTTATCATAATTTTAATTGAAGATGTTTTTAGAATTTCTGGTATTATCGATTTCTAAGACTTTTTTTAACATTCACGTGGCCCTGAATTTTTTTTTAACTATTATACTAACTTGAATATTTCTACTCCTTTTAGCAAATTTTCTCACAATCTCCAAAACCACCCAGGTTGCAAAGAGGCAAACATGCCAACTTTTATTACTATTAAATAGATTGTGAAATATCTTGTCAATCCCATTTTATTCATCATAAATATCTTTATTTCCATCTTTGATACATAATACAAATATAAATTACTATCTAGATATAGATAAATATAAATTACACTGCTTTAATATTAAATGCGGAAATTAAGTGAAACAAGAATGAGACAAAGGAATTAAGTACTGTGTGATTTTTTCTATTTTCATATACCATTTACCTCACAGGTATTATAAACATTTTACATAAGCACATCATAACAAAGACTGTCCTGTTGTAAAGGTTGGTTTCCATATGTTTTTCCCTGTTGGGGTTCAGAAAAGCTTTTCTTTCTCTTTACTTATTTTTCTTTACCTCTTTTCTTCTCTCTGGGTATGTCTACACTAGCCCCCTAGATCGATCAGGAGAGGCTAATGAGGGTGACCAAAATTGCAAATGAAGCGCTGGATTTAAATATCCCATGCTTCATTAGCATGTTCCCGGCCAGTCGCCATTTTAGAAATTGACTAGCCCAAAGTAACTGCCCGTGTCTACACACGGCAGTGAAACAGGATTCCGAAATAAAGCCCTAACTTGAATTAGCTGGTAAACCTCGTTGCAGGAGGAATACCAGCTAATCCGAGTTAGGGCTTTATTTCGGAATCCCGTTTCACTGCTGCTTGTAGACACGGGCAGTTACTTCGGGATAGTCAATTTCTAAAATGGCGACCGTCCAGAAACATGCAAATCAAGCGCTGGATATTTAAATCCTGTGCTTCATTTGCAATTTTGGTTGCCCTAATTAGCCTCCCTAGATCGATCTAGGGGGCTAGTGTAGACATAGGTATTAGAATCTTTTGGTAAGTGGCTACAACTTTAACTTCAAATAAGAGATTTTCTACCAGAATTTTCTGTCCTGTGAGCAATGAAAGGAGGGAAAAGGAGCAGGAAGAGGCCTATATCTATCCTTTCATAGTATCTTCCTTTGCTATCTCCCAACCAATCCCAGCACTTTTTCTTAGAGCTGAGATTCTTCTGAGGAGATCAAAGAGCTGCTGTTGGTTGGCAGGAGCCATGCACCACCTGAAGAGACTAGTCCACATTTTTGAAGCCTGCTAAAACAGCCAGGCCTTTCTCTCTATTCATATCCCTCTTCTTGCTCCTTATTTCCTTTGTTGTAGTGGCATTCAGAGAAACCTACATGACA